TCCTGATGAGGAAACTGAGGCCAAGAAGTGCTGGGGAGAGTCTTCCAGTCCAGTGTGCCATGCTGTCTCCACATACTCTTTTCATGCAGAGCATGGCTATTCTGAAGACACCGTCTCCCACACACATGTGCAGGGTGCCAGTGGAGAGCTTGTGCGGTCTCCTGAAGCAAGCTCGAGTGCTGCTGGCAGCTCTTCCCGAGCCGTGGGGCCAGCTGGGCAAAGCCAGCTCACTCCATCCCTGGTCCATGGCCAGGGTCTGCTCTCTCCAGAGTTCTTCATTCCCCTGACACTTATTAGGCATCTGCTGTGTGCACTGCATCATACATGTGCTTGGACTACAGAGAGCAGTGAAGGGGAACCTTAGGGACCATTTTTCAGGTGGTCAGCAGGCAAATTGTGGGCTGGAGAGATGAAGTGACACTGCCAAAGGCCAGACCATGGGAGTGCTGGGATTGAGCCCCACATCTCCAGATTCCCAACAGAGGACACTTTCCTGGACCCTGGGCTCATCCCTTCCTTAGGAAGATTAAACACTAGCATAGCAAACGGTTTTAGAACCATGACGAGGCAACACTTAGTGAAATGACAGTGTGCATGCTGGCAGGATGTGTACGTAGTGCATACGTAGGGCTGACTGAGATACATGACCAGTGCTAGGGGCTGCCTCCAAACAAAGCTGTGCCCCAGTGGCTCTCTGGTGGTAGGACTCTTCGTGACTCACCTTCTGTGCTGCCGGGGTCACCGGCAATGTCCTTTACAAATGAATCAAAGAAGCTTCTAACATGGTCAAACTCCTATTATGCTTAATATAAGAACACATTACAATCTAGCTAACTATGGTGGAAGTCTTAACATTTGGGCCCTACCATGCGGGATTCAGAGTGCAAGTCTCAACAACACTTTATCCCAACTTTAAACCGGGGCACAGGACCTTCTTTCTGCCACCTCCACCTCCCGCCCCGCTGCTGTGTGTTGAAGCCAATTATGCATATATAAGTTGTAGGCTCTCCATTCCTGTAGGTAAAGATACCATGTCTCCTCTTTTCCAGTTCTTACCCAAAGTGGGCTCGGGAGATTCTAGGAACTGAATGTTTGTGTCTCCCCAGAATTCATATCTTGAAGCCCTAATCCGCATTGTGATGGTATTTGGAGGTTGGAGGCCTTGGGGAGGTGATTAGGATTAGATAACATCATGAGGGAGGGTCTCCCATGGTGGGATTAGTGCCCTTATAAGATGAAAAAGAGACCAGAGCTCTCTCTCCCTTCACCATGTGAAGATACAGTAAGAAGGGAGCTGGCTGCAAGCCAGAAAGAGAGCCCTCCCCAGAACTTGACCATGCTGGTGCCCTGACCTCACATTTCCAACCTCCAGAGTAGTGAGATGTGAATGTCCATCACTTAAGCCCCTTGTGGCATTCTTTTGTAGCAGGCTGTCGCAGACACTGCGCATCACCACACCCAGGCATGTGATGGTGTCTTGATGTACCACCTGCAACTCTGTCAAGGGCCTTCTCTGGCCCCAGGAACATTCTTGTTTTGGCCAGTGCAGGGCTGAGCAGATGTGTTGATGTGTCAGTGGCTTTGGGATGGATGGGCATCTGTGGGCAAATTGCTCAGCTTCTGGCCTCATGGTAGACAACTCTGGGAACATTTCACACTATCTCCCTGCAAGCTTGAGCCCACCCTGTCATCCCCCTGCTTTCGCTGCCCCACCTCTCCACTCCCTTGTGATGCTTTCTGGGGTCACCTACCAAATAAACTGCTGGTGTTCTAACCCTTGTCTCAATGTCTGCTCTTGAGGGACCCAACCTAAGGCACAGGCATTTGGGACCTATGAAGGAAGACTCCTGTCCTGTAAGGCAGGAGGGCCCCCGGCTCAAAATTTAGATAAAATCTCTTCTTGTGACTTTTTTTCCCCAAAAGATGCTGCATATATAAAAGGAAAAATAAAATATATGTAGTATTCTTTGCAAGTGGTACCTGAGCCCTTTGAATATAATTTCATTGTCAGTCTGATATGCGTTTTTAGCATGGAGCTATAATGAAAAAGTAGTCAGAGTGGATCAATGTCAGATGAAGATTCCTAGGGAAATATTTGACCTGGTCATTCTTTCCACATGGCTATTAACCACCAAATAAGGAAATTTTTAGTTGCTCTTGAAGGAAATTGATTTGAAAGCATTTGACTGATCTCTGCCTTCCCCGCCCCTGTCACACCTCCCACACACACCCACCCTTCATCTCAGCCATTGGCCAAGCACTGTCGCTCCAGGGAGGAAGCCCCCAGTTCTGCACTGGCTGCGCTGGGACGGTAGCTGGCATCGCCCTGGGGAGGATGTTCACACATGTTCTCATGGCCAGTTGTGCCTTCTGATGGGGGAGGAACCTTTGACCAAGGGCCAGAGCACCCTCCTGGTGATGGACCAGGGGCTCTGGAGGGCAGACCAAGATCGGGTCACTGCCAAGACCCTCACTCCTGGAAGACAGAGAGAGGAGGTTCCCTCCACCTCAAAGGAAGGAGAACCCCGAGCAAGTTTCTGTGGTCCCTTGTCAGCTCCCTCCTGCTCGGCCAAGACTTGGGGCAGCTCCTCGGTGGACTTTGGTTCCTACCCCCATCCAGGGGGCAGCCTCCATCATGGTCTCCCCAGGGGTCCCCGTCAGTTCCACAGTGTTGGCTGGGCCTGGAGACCCCTCACTCAACCCTCCCACCAGAAAGCAAAGCCCAGAGCGATCCATGTGGTCACTTTCATTGCAGTCATCCTGCTGCTTGGATTCAAAACCCAATTTCTCACTCACTGGCATGGCACCCTTGGCCAAGCAGTCACACTCCTTGGTCATCAGTCACTGTGTGGATGGAGCAGCAAGGAGGTGGAGGACGGAGCTGGCTCCAGTGTGGACACACTGCAGACAACACTCACGCCCTCTGCCTCCCTTCACGCCGCTGCTCACAGCGTGGCCTTCGCTCCTGTCTTGCACCGCCCTGAGCGTGTTGTTACTTACAGCCAGTTCCTCCTTACGCAGGGAGCCTTCGGGGCAGGGAGAAGGAAACAGCTAGCTACCATTCCTTTGTGAGAAAGCGTCCGTCATCCCCCATCTCTGCTCCTCACAGGTGATTGGAGACCTCAGATAAGCAATTCCTCTGGTTGGCGCCACCCCAGGGAGACCACTGGCTGTTGTGATGGAGAAATTATTGTGGCAGCCTGTGTCCTGTCTCCAGCTCTTGGGGTGTGAGGACAATAGGAGACAGGACATTTAAACCCTGGGACTGGCCAGTGCTAAAAAACCCTGTGGCAGCTACACTGAGACATGCAAAGAGAAACAGTAAGGCTGTTTCCCTCTGGTGATATGGCAGAGGAATTTAAATCAGATTGGATTCTCCTTTTAGAGGAAGTCTTGAGAAGAAAGAGGTCACAGGGCAGAGGCAGACTGCAGATAGATGCCAGGGGCGGGATGTCACCCACCAGGGGCATCCCCACTGGACGTGTTGGGTGTGTGGCCCTGCTCTGCAGCTTTCTGGCTGTGGATCCCTGAGTGTCTCACCTAACCTTTCAGTCCCTTGGCTTCCTCATCTACAAAATGGGAATAACAGCTTATAGTGAGGTGAAAAGGGACACTGGGGGCAAAATGCCTGGCACAGTGCCCACTGGGAGCAGGTCCACCGTAATGTGTATTCTTGTCATCATTGTGTAAGTCACCCTCCTGCCCCTGCCAGAGCCTCCATCTCAACCCATCTCGGCCCATGGCCAGCCAGCCCAGCCCACACCCTGCTTCCCAAGGGCATCTGGAATTTATACAAAACAAAGGGAGCCTCAGAGAGGAGGAGCTGCAAAGGTGTGCACAGAGTTGACATATTTTCAGAACCAAATATTGGGATGCAAGGTCTGGACAGGGCTGGGAAACAAGGGGGCGGTGTCTAGATGCTGGAAGGTCTAGGGCTGTACGTGCCCACCCAAGAGGATGCGTCGGGGGGGTGGCCGTCGTTGGGAGAGGGGAGCGAGGGACTCTCCTGGCTGATGGTACAGCCAGACAGATAAAGAAACAAAGATAGAAAAAGAAAGAGAATGCAAGGCTCAGGTTCCCATCTGGTGGGAACGTGGAGCATGATCACTGTGAACTTCCAGCCAGCCGCCAGCACAGCACCTGGCCCACCCCAGCTGCCCAGTGAGCGACTGTCTGAGCCAATGGACACGTGCTGAGCCCAGAAAAGAGAGGGCAGAAAGGCCTGTGGGTTAGAGCCAGGACCTGCGTGGGACCCCGGCTCACAGACCTGGGCTTTCGCCTCCCAGCACAGGAGGTTTGGGAGCGGGGAAGGGTATGGCCAGCCTTGCAGATGATATTCCAGCCCAGCACAAACGTGGGTGAGGGTGGGAAGGGGAGTAGAGGGATAGAGCAGGCAGGGAGTGGGCTCAGGGCCCAGGCCCGGCCGGGGCAGGCGAGGTGGGAAGGGAGCAGAGAAGAGGAAGGACAGCTCAGAGCAGGGCTCTTAGACCCGTCTGTGGACGCCTTTGGCAACGCAGTGACCCCTACAGACCCTGCTCAGAAGGACACATTCACTGCATGCCACAAGGTACACAGGTTACAAGTGGAGACTGACCTTGTTGAAATGAAGTTGTCAAAATATTAGAAAACAAATTTGCAGATGGTAGTTCACGTGCTTCCTCATTAACATGCTAAGTCACAAGTGGTGACCTGAAAAACCACTGTAACGTTGAAGTGATGCATGACAGCCACCTGAGCATGATAGTGTAAAGTAGTGCAAACATTTCTGCTGGGCACTGAGTGCCAGGTGTGCTAACACAACTGTGGTTTGTCACCCACCTCCTTATCTGCAGGAAACACTAAGTTCCAGTTGGAGTTTTGTGAACCTAAAGACATAGCTTTTTTTGTCATCCAAGTTTACAAACCACGTATTAAAACCAGGGCTGGTGACGCTGTCCCAGACCTACAGCACTGAAAATGTTGTCATCTGTACTGAGCTGGTTTCTCTCTCTGTTCTTTAGCCTTGCACGAATTCCCCAATGACATCTTCACCAACGAGGACAGACGACAAGGAGCGGTGGTCCTCCACGTGCTCTGTGTAAGTACTCCTCCCGGGGCTCTGCCGGAGGAGGCCGAGAGCAGGCCCGGCGGGGGTGGGTGGGCAGTGGTGGGTAGGACCACAGAGGGGTCTCCCCTTCCCTCCTGTTCACATGCCTCGCAGGGGCCCTCTGAGCCCTGGAGGAGGAGACCTCCAAATGGGCCATGTTTTAAAGGCCACAGGTTCATAAGCTAGAAGACATGTGCGTGGATTCTTTCTGTCACATGAGTGCACATGGTGTGGGCTCTGAAGCCACGCAGACTTGCCCTGCATTATTCAACCTTACTCTCTGCTCAGACACCACCTTCTAGGGGAGCCGCTTTCCTAACCAGCCTCTCTAAAATGCCACGGTATTTCCCCTCACCCTGCTTGATTTTTCTCCATACAGCCTGACATTATACAGTCATTTGCTTATTGCCTGTCCACCTCGCTCAGAAGTAAGTCCCTGACAATAGGGACTTTGTTCCCGGACCCATTCTTGGCACATGGTAAAGACAAAGTATCTGATAGATTAGTGGATTAACTGTAATGACAACCGGCACATAGTGTCTGGCACATAGTAGGTGATCAGTAAGCACTTGTTCCCTTCCCTTCTCGCTTCCTAACGCCCACCACTGTCCTAGCCTCTTCCTCTGCAGACTCAGTGGGTCTAAGGTCTTCCATTCACCTTGTCCCCTTTTGCAGAGTTTGGGGAGGGCGTGTGTGTGTGAAGATACATCTAAGGAGTGGCTGCAGAACCAAAAAATTCCAGGCCACGTTCTGGACTCAGCGCATCACTGCTTTCCCATCTCTGTGGCATTCGCTCTCCCTTAGAATTCTTTTAATTACATTCTGGTTATTTATTGCTTTGAAACAGACTCCCCAAATTTCATGGCATATCCAATCACCATTTTATGTTACCTGTGGGTTCTGTGTGTCAACCATTCGGAAAGGGCACGGTGGCAATGCTGCTGCACGGAATGGGGCCTCAGATGGGACAACTGGGGTGTCTGCTGGTGATGCAGATGCCTGGGGCTGGCTCCATGGTGCTGGAGGACCCCTTTGCAAGAGGACTTCTCCACTCCCTTGTCTGGGGCCTGAGCTAGCATGGCTGAAGCTGGGACCCTTGACGAGAGTGCCAGCATGTGGACTCGCCAGCACGCTAGTCTTGGTTAGTCGTTCTTCCACATGGCATCTCAGGGCTCAGAGAGGGAGGTTTACGGCAAATGAGGAGGAAACCATATGGCCTTTCATGACGTGGCCTTGGAAGTCACACGGTGTCATTTCCACTGTACTGGATTGTGGTCACCAGCCCCTAGGCCACCCTGAGCTTGACTCCCTACCTGGGAGAAAGCAATCAGCTCTTCAACTCCCTGGGGGTGGGGGGAGGCATGAGAAGTCCCTTTTTGGCAAAGACATTCTGTAAAAATACCAAACACATAAGAAGAATCTTAGCAACCCTTCCAGCCCTCCCTGCCCTTCAGGAGAGTCAAACACTGAGCAATTAATACGGATGGCACCCTTGGCACCAAGGAGTCTGCTGTCTCAAGGCTGAGGAAAGCCAGATGCTGAGTCAGATGCAGAATCCCCTGGTGGCCGTTAGCACCCTGACAGCTCCATATCTGACATGAGATTTCCACTCTTGGCTTGGCTCAAATAGCACAGGCTTCCATCCTCCTGAAGCTGCGTCATCACCTGCAGCTGGTAGGGCCCTTTCTCCACCTCCCCTCCCCTCTCAGACGCACTGACTCGCCAGCTGAAGGCAGAGGGGAGTAGTTTCCCTTGCTGTTCGTGTGCCCAGGATACCTGGTGAAGCCTCTGCTGTCTATGCTGGTGCCTTTCCAGGCTGGCATGAAGCATAGTGGACAGAAATGGACAATGTCACCCTTAGACACTTCCTTAAAAGAGTGTGCACAAGCCTGGAGCTTAGCAGTTTGTAGGTGCTGGTATCTAATGCCACTGTTCACCCCGCCCCGGGCTCTGAACTTTGGAATCCTCGGGGGCTGATGTCAGTGCCCACTCCTCCAAGACCATGCTCCAGGCACACAGAACCCCAGAATTCTCTGTCCGAATAGCCCCGAGCCTGTTGCCAAGGCCTGTGCAGACCTCCTCTCTGTGTCTACCTCTTGGAAGTAAGAGACCTAGGAGGAGCAAGCTTCACCTGCTGCCTGGGACATCCACATACATGCGTGTGGTCCAGGGTGGAGCCAGGTGGACAGAGCAGGGCCCCTCCTCTACACGACAGAGACAAATGTTGGGGTGGGCCTGCTGGTGCCATCCCCAAATTCTACTTTATCCTGCCCACCAGAATATAAGCTCCCCCACCAGGACATAAGCCGGTGCATAGAACAACAGAAGTTGCACAGGAGTGAACGGTGATTTTCATCCCCTTCAGCTACCACACCACCCAGCATGTGTAGGAAGCTCAGGAATTGTTAAGCGAGCGTCGCTGGATGTAAGAACTGCTGCAAGGGCAAACATTTGGCATTTTAGTGGCCAGTGGGAAACAGATGAATGCATGCGTCAAAGCTGCAAGAAGCTAAATACAGACTTTCTGCACTAGGAGGCATTTCCTGAGCCCCTGCAGTCTGGTAGTGCTGGGCTGGGCCCTTCTACTCGCTCTGAAGGCACCTACCATCTCGTGAGGAGGCTGCTTCTGGTCAGCACCTGCTGTGCACTAAATGCTGCCCATGGCTGGGCTGCATGTTGCGGGGGCTCAGAGAAGCACTGTCCTGTGGTGGGAGAGTGAGGCTGTGCTGGTCTTGAAGACTGGGTCAGCAGTTTCCAAAGGAGAATGGAGTAAAGGGATAATGGGCAGGAACAGGAAAGCCCATGGTCAAAGACATGGAGATGTGAGAGTTCAGAGAGTCTGGAGGGAGCAGAATCCAAGGACATGACAGTGGAGCATGAGAGAGCATGAGGGTGGGGAGCTGGGTGGAACCCCAAGAGGGAGGCACCACGAGGTGACTTAGCTGCCACATTGGACGTGGTAAAAAGCAGATCCCTGATCTCGCCAGCCCTCAGGCAGCCCTTCCTGCTGAGGTTTAGGGCTGTGTAAGGGCAGGCATGGCCAGAGGTGACCCAGAGTCATCTCCCTTCCAGTCAGTTGAGAAGGGCCCAGGCAGGCCACAGAAAAAGGCTCAGGGCCATTTGGGCAGCAGATCCCAAAGTCCCAGGTACCCTGAGGAATACCCGAGGCCTGGTGAGGGTCACCCAGAAGTAAGCGTGGGGGCACAGAATATCATGCAGCCATCTCTAGGCCCCTGAAGAGCTGGGTCTGCCTCATTTAAGCAGGAGAAGGATGACCTGCCAGAGGGTCCTAGAAGGGGTGTCCTGTCACCACAGGCTGCTCCAGATATAGGGCCATGGGGCGTCCTTTCATGGTCCTAATCACAGATCTCATCTAGAGTGCCCATTTCTTCTGAATTGTACTCTGAAACCTGACCAAACTAAGCATTTACCTAAACTCAAACTGCCCTGTTCCATTTGTGCCCCATGAGTTTGCTTTTCATGTAAGGCCTGCAACCTTCGACCTCAACTGGGTGTAGGTCTGGGGACACAGATGGTCCTGAGGACCCCTTGACACAATCTTTTAAATCTTAAATGTCAAAGCTTACTTCTCTTTTTTTTCTTTCATGTAAATACTTCCCTCTTTGATGTGTGCTTTATGCAACTCAAACAGCCATTTCTGGTTATACTTTCCGAATGCTGTAGCTTTAATTTTCCCTTGGAAATGTTTTTGTGGATTTCAGAAACCGTAAGCCCTGATATTGCACTTAAAAAGTGCAATATCACTTCTATTCCCTCTGATTGTTCTTTCTTACTAGTGGAGAAATCCATGATCTTTACAACTTTTCCAACAAAAGCTATCCCCAAGAAAATGCACTTGCCTTAGAACTTGCTTTATATCCAGTCTGTTATAACATTGAAACACTAAAAGCAGTATTTCCTGCCTGTGAGGAAATTTGCACCCTATAAACTCATTGAGCTTGCCCCAAATAGAAGAAGCAGCCTGTGAATAATTTTCTAGAACCATGGTTTGTCTGTGATTTATAAATATCTGGTGAAATTTTCTATGCATGATATAAATAGCTGAATCTTTGAGATTATAAGCCAACCTATACATTTTATCTTCCAGTAAAATAAGCCTTAAATAATCAATATTTGAAATTCTTTCTCTAAGCGAGTGTGGGCAGCCATCTATCCTTAATAGATCAAACTCCACAGCAGGAATAAATACCTTCTGTGTACGCTCTCAGCTTTCCAAAGTATTCTCCCTTTGAAGAAGCTTTGAGCCTCCTTTTCCAATTTTTAATGTAATTCCTCTATTCCAGCAGGCAGATATTTCTATATGTTTGTGTGTAAGGTGGTATAAAGTATTGTTACCTGGCACAGGTCCAGCTGCCTGCCCCCAGACAAAAACAAACTACTCAAAAGTCAAATGTTGATGAAAAAGGAAGTCAGTTTCAGTTTTTATTTGGGAATACCTGTGACTTGAGGAGAGATGTCGGGCTAACCCGTCTCTCCAGTAAACCTGAAGGAGAATGGCCAGACCAAAGCCACCTCAAAGACACAGACCGACTAAGGGGCTTTTAAAGAGGGGGTTGAAGGAATGGAACTTGGGAAATGAAATTTAGGGGGTGAGGGGCGGGGGGACATGAGCCACCCGAGCTCCATGCAAAGAGCCAGGTGCAACATCTCACCAAGGCTCCATCTGGTTTCTGTTCCT